TTCCAGCTCCTTGGAAGGCTGAGGTGGAAGGATCGCCAGAGCCCAGCAGGTCGAGGCTGCGGAGGCCAGGAGCGGCCACTGCACTCCAGTCTGGGCGACGGAGTGAGACTCCAACTCAAAAAAAAAAGAATAATGAAATGAAACAATTCATGTAAATTGTATTATTCCTAGCAGTACTTGGGGGGAAATGCAGCGTCCAGTACATTATCCAGCTTGACCTCTGTACTGTAAAAGTTTTCAGGGCACCTTAACACTTGTTTTTACAAAATAATGGGACCACTGAGAATATAGAGATGAGTGAACTAGCTGAAGTGAGTTTGAAAGTGTGTGGGAAGACTCACTACGAGCAATGAATAACATAGACATTCCTTGGTTCTCTCAAGATACACTGCTCAGGAGGTTTTCAGGGCTGTTAGGAGGTTGCACAGTCAAGGCTTTTATTTGATAGATTTGGCCCTGAACTGCTAGAATTAATCTGGCGTGATCTATTCTTGGGATAAGAGATTATTGTGATAGTACTATATGACAGTTGGTACATTTTTTAAAATTTAGAGATCTTTTTGTGTCAGGTTTAAGCCTATGATCCAACCTGAAAAAATGCCATTAAAACTTGTTATCTTTTGTCTCAGTTTTGAGATACTGGCTGAAAATTATTATTATTATTTAAATAATAATGATAATTTAAATAAATTTAAATGATTTAAATAAATAATAATTTTAAAAAATTAACCCCTTCCCCCTTTTTTTAATGACAGTTGGTTCACCCTATTGTCTGCACCTTCGAGTTAAGTTTTATTCCTCAGAACCAAATAATCTTCGCGAAGAACTAACCCGGTAAGAACACTACCTAGAGTTGTACCAAGGGTATTGTAGTTTTGAAAGATTGTCTTTATAATTGTTCCAATCTGTAGACAGCTAATGAAATGGATTCCTGGCACCTGGTAATAATAACTCAGATAATAGAATTTTATTCTAGGACAATGTTTTTTAAGAATATGATTGTTTTTCTTTATCAGTTTTCAAAATGAAGAATCAGTTTGCTAGCATCCTCCAAAGGTTACTAGTGAGCTTTTGTTGTGTTTTGCTTTGTTTTTGATTAGGGTCTTACTCTGTGACCCAGGCTGTAGTACAGTGGCACAGTTATGGCTCACCGCAACCTCTGACTCCTGGGTTCAATTCTTGTACTCAAGTGGTGTTTTTGCCTCAGCCTCCCAAGTAGCTGGGGCTATAGGTGTGAGCCGTCACACCCAGCTAATTTTTTGTAGAGAAACAAGGTCTTGGTATGTTTCCCAGGCTGGTCTCGAATGCCTGGGCTAAAGCAATCTTCCTACCTCATCCTCCCAAAATGCTGGGATTACAGGCATGAGCCACTGCACCTGGCCTGAATTCTTTTTTAAGCATTGCTATCAACTCAGGGATTTTAAACAGGATTGATTTGTTCAATTCATTTCAGTATTATGTTTATTGATGTTCAAAATATATGTCTTTGGCCACTAGGAGTTTATTCAGGTTGGCTCTTGACTTTCTTTTTGCCTCTTTCTCCTGAATAGCTGGGACTACAGGTGTGTGCCACCATGCCCAGCTAATTTTTTTTTAATTTGTTATAGAGACAAGGTCTCACTATGTTGCCTAGGCTGGTCTTAAACTCCTGGCCTCAAGCAGTCCTCTCTCCTTGGCCTCCCAAAGTGCTTACAGAGATTACAGTTGTGAGCCACCGTACCTGGCCAAATAAATACAAAAAAAAAGTAGTCTCAAATTAGAAGGATAAGATTATTTTTTTCACAGTAGATTGTTCTGTTTAGTTAAATTTGTGCCTTTTATTTTTCCTAGGTATTTATTTGTTCTTCAGTTAAAACAAGATATTCTCAGTGGAAAGTGAGTATTAGTTACTTAAGGTAAACCGCCCATTTTCTTGGACGTTAAAAACTTATGTTGAAAATAAATTTATAGTTATGAAAAGTGATTGTCATAATGTATTATTTCCAATTATCTTAAAAAATAAAAGGTATGATATTGACTTGTCCAACAAATTTGTGTTTTGGTTCAGATTAGAATGTCCCTTTGATACAGCAGTGCAGTTGGCAGCTTATAATCTGCAAGGTAAGCAATCCTTATGCTAACTGTTAAAACTGAAGTGGAATTTTGTGTGTATGTGTGTGTGTTTAATTAAAGAATTTCAAAAGATTCAGATCATGGGCAAGAAAAAAGCAATACTGTTTTTGTGTCAACTTGTATCAGTATTCTACTCTGACTTTTAACTCACTTGTGCTTCTTAAAGACATTGTGGTCCAGACAAAAGAGCAATTTATTTAATAATAAAATGAGTATGTTAATATATATAATCTAAGATTTCTGTGAAGTTAAATGACATCATAGCATATCCAGTATGTAGAATAGGTGTTTAATAGAAGAGTGATTGTCATTATCTCAAGGTAGTTCTCATGTATTTTTTTCTCACCCACTGGATTTTTAAAAATCAAAATGGTAATGTTTTAATACAAGTCAGATATTTCTTTAAAGGAAACATTTCAAAAGAATAGAAAATTAGAATTACTGTTTTCTTCTTTCTCTCCAAACCCACAGTTAGTTTAGAGATAACCATAGATGGGTACATTAATGTTTGTGCATTGTCCAGTTCTTTTCCTGCAGCCTCCTTACTTGGTTTTTTAAAAGTTATTTTCAGTTACTTCTTTAGGATTAATAATTTAAAATTCCCAGAAGGCAGGGAATATGTTTTATAGTTATATATGGTGTCATGTTCTGTGTATATTAGTAATTTTCTTTTCTTTTTAGAGACAGAGTCTAGCTTTATTACCCAGGCTGGAATGCAGTGGTATGATCATAGCTCACTGCAGCCTCAAACTCCTGAGCCTGAAGCAATCCTTCTGCCTCAGTCTCTCAAGTAGCTAGGACTCCAGACACGTGCCACTACACCTGGCTAATTATTATTATTATTATTTTTTGTAGAGATGGGAGTTTTCTTTGTAGCTTAGCCTGATCTCGAACTCCTGGTGTCAAGCAATTCTCCCACTTTGGCCTCCCAAAGCACTGAGATTGCTGGCATGAGTCAATGTGCCTGGCCCAGTATTCTTAATAGATATCAGTTGATTGTCTTTGAAGGATTGCTATATTTGAAGGATTGCTGAATTTTTTAATTTACTCACTACGAGGTCAAAGGGTATTTCTCTGTGGATGTCTAGAAAGTGGTTTTCAAAACCTAAGCACCAAGGTGTGCATACATTAAAAGAAAGACATTTAATTAAAAATATACCACCAAAAACAAATATGTGATTTGCGTGTATGAACTAATAAGTAGTAAGTCTGAACTAGATTTTTTTTTGAAATTGGGTATGACAAATTCCTATAGTTTAAGAAAGAATCTTAGCCGGGCTCAGTGGCTCAGCCTGTAATCCCGCGCCTTTGAGAGGCTGAGGTGAGTGGATTGCCTGAGCCTGTGGGTTCGAGACCCGCCTGGGCAGCGAGACCTCATCTCTACAATAAATCAAAAAATTAGCCGGGCATGGTAGCGCTCGCCTGTAGTTCCAGCTACTTGGAAGGCGGAGATGGAGGGATTGCCGGAACCCAACATGGTGAGGCTGCGGTGGCCCTCCAGCCTGGGCGACAGAGTGAGACTCCAACTCAAAAAAAAAAAAAAAGAAAGAATTTTAGCAATTATTATTAATAAAATGAGTTTTTTAGGAAGGATTCAATAGGAAATACTTATTAGTATTTACAAAACATAACTTTTTGGAACTTATGTTTGTAGCTGAACTTGGTGATTATGATCTTGCTGAGCATAGTCCTGAACTTGTCTCTGAGTTCAGGTTCGTGCCCATTCAGACTGAAGAAATGGAGCTGGCTATTTTTGAGAAATGGAAAGAATACAGGTACTTGGCATTTCCACACACTTTCTTCAACATTACTACAGTAGTTATTTCATATTCCTTTTCTTCTGTTTCTATCCTTTGTGTATAGTTTTTAAAATAATTGTATTTTAAATTTCAGAGGTCAGACACCAGCACAAGCTGAAACCAATTATCTGAATAAAGCCAAGTGGCTAGAAATGTATGGGGTTGATATGCATGTAGTTAAGGTAAGCACTGTGTTGTTATGCTTTTTCAAAAATGTGTTCGGTGGGGACTCACAGTGACTGGAGTTTTTCAGTATAGGGGAGGGCATGGAGCATAAGCTAGCCTGGGTACTGAGATTTTGTGGTTAAAGGGTTGAGATAAATGCTGAGTGACTAGAATCTCACGGAAAGGTTCATTATAGAAGGAAGAGAAACAACCAAATTCCTTAAAAAGGAAGCTCAGTCCTTTTAAGCTTTTTTTTTTTTTTAATATTTTTTAAAACTTTGAAGCCATTTCATTTCCTATTATCTTATATTACTTAAGCTGACTAGGCTCTGTTAAAATTAAAATAATTCAGAAAGCAAAGTTGAAAATGTGTAGCTTGAGGACCTTGGTAAGCTAATAGAACAGCTTGTGTAGTGATTTAAATTATTTCTGGTTTAACTGGCAACATTTCCCCAGAAAGGCAGTCTTTTCCAAAATTTATTATTTGAGTGATAAATAGAATACAGGAAGAATCTGGGAAAGACTTTTGTAGTGGGATATAACTACCCGTATTCCTTGAAGACGACATACCTTATAACTATAGTGTTTCAGTGACTAATTATAAATATATATATGTGAATTTTTCTGAGAATTTTATTTTGGATGCTCTAATTATTGAAAATGTCTTGAATATTAATATTAACCTGTATATAATTAATTCAAGGTGGAAATAAAATTGAAAATTGTTTCATGCAAATAAAACTAACACATTTTTTTCTCCTTAAATTAGGCTAGAGATGGGAATGACTATAGTTTGGGACTAACCCCAACAGGAGTCCTTGTTTTTGAAGGGGAGACCAAAATTGGCTTATTTTTTTGGTAAGCAAGAATTATTATCAAAGATACTGTTATTTTTTAATGAATGAAAACAGTTATATAAAGTTAATACAGAAACTAGTTTGGAAATCAGAGTCTTGCATAGCTTGTAAATGACAGTAACTGTCTCTTGTGCTTTTATGCATCTTTTTCCCCCACTTTCTACAGGCAATTTTTAAAACTCTTGTAGCTATATTTTCCATTAACTTCAAGATATGTCAAAATAAATATCTTGATATAAGTATTTTATATTTGTATGTATATTAAATGTTTTCATTTAAAATATAGTCCCTCCTTTCATGTGTTTATATCATAGTTTTTAGTATTTCTTGTTCCACTATCCCTTTTCTTCCTATCATGAAGAAGGAAGGATATTAGTACTTTCACCACTCTTTTTAAGGTGTCCTCTTTCTGTTCCACTTTTTATCATTCATACTTTTCTTTTTTTTTTGGAGTCGGGTGCTTATTCTGTTGTCTTGGCTGGAATGCAGTGGCATGATCATGGCTTACCACAGCCTCCAACTCCTGGGCTCAGGTGATCCTTTCACCTCAGCCTCCCAAGTAGCCACTATGCCTGGTTAATTTTTTGACTTTTTGTAGAGATAAGGTCTCGCTGTGTTGCCCAGGCTGGTGTTGGACTCCTGGGCTCAAGCCATCCTCCTACCTTCATCTGGGATTAGAGGTGAGAGCCACTGCACCTGGCCTATCATCTATACTTTTAAATTGAATTGACGTTTTCATCAAGGATAGATTTTACTTGGATTTCTATAACTATAATTTAGTCCTTCAAGTTTTGTCTGGTGTTCTAAAAGCTGAGAATTGGGGATAGTGTTTACATTATTATGTCTGTGTCAGAACTAGTACAGAGCTTAGGAATGTACTTGTATTATAGATAAGGGCCAAAGATGTCCCCTGTACATTGGCCCCTTTGTTTTTCACTGCTTCACAGTAGGCCAGAACTGTTAGCTGAAAACCCTCTGGTGTGAAATTCAAATTCTTATTCATCCACTTGCTTTGCATATAGCCCGATAAGTATATATTTTTTTCTGCTTTGTGTACCCCATGAAGCTCTACCTCAACATCTGCTGGCCATAGATAGGACAAGCCCTGTAGGTGTAAATGACAGACACACTGTTGCTTTTCTGAGCTCTCCGACTTCCGGCTTGCTGCTGAACGCCGGCCTGGAGACGCTTAAGCGCCTCCTCAGCTTCCTGGGGGTCTCGTTGCCCTCCTCCCCTCCTGGGCGGTGACCTTGCAGCCGCTGCTGCTGCCTGCCTCGGAGCCTCCTGTCAGAACCTCCTCTGTCATGCCACCCTTTCTAAGCACTGCTCAGTGAAGCCTCTTGTGCGATACTGCTTTTTCCTGGTCAGCTCTGAAATCCTTGAACTCACAACTGATACTACATTTCCTTTCTGTATAGCTTGCTGTTTAGAAATTTTCTAGAGTTCTTAGCTTCCTTTATCTCATACACCCACAGATCCCTTTAAATTGCCTACCTTTGTCTTCTCCTCAAGTTTTTTCAGACGATCAAAGGTTGCATCAAGTGGTTCTGGTGCTCTCATTGGAACTGTTTTCTATTCAAGCTGCTGTCCAGCTTTTCTCTTGGACCTTCCCTTTCCTGTTTTCTCAACTGTGATCCTATGTGGTCGTCCCATGTTTCCCTCATTCTTTGCTTCTTCCCTCCTGTTGTGTATCCTCAAGTAACTGCCTAAGAAAAGGGAAGTGAATTATTTGAATCCTTGGATGCCTTAAGTGATTTGTTCTTCTTTTACTCTTCCTTTTTAAAAAAAATTTTTTGGGATGGGGTCTTGCTGTGTTGCCCAGGTTGGTCTCAAACTCCTGGGCTCAAGCGGTCCTTCTGCTTTGGCTTCCCAAAGTGCTGGAATTACAGACATGAACCTTTGCACTTGGCCCACTCTTTCTTGATAATTAGGATGAGGTGGGCTTTTGGGTTGAAAATTATTTCCCTGAAAGAACTGAAGATGGTATTTCATTTATTTTTACATTCAGGTGTTCTGATAGGGACTGTCTGTAGAGACTTCAGTATAACACCTTTAGAGTTGTCTCTTGATGAGTGAGGAAGCGGTGGCATTTATCACTCTCTACCTTGGGTGTTAATTCCTTTTCAGCTTTTAACAACATCCAGGTCGTCCAGTGGGCAGATGGAAGTTGTTTCCAGGCCTGAAAATGCTCTAGACAGAAAGATAAACGAAAGGACCTTTTGTGCCTCTTCCCAGAATTGTTTTCAGAATTAAATGGGTTAATACTTGTAAAGCACTTAGAACGGTGCATGGCACTCAGTAGTTGTTATGTAAGCGGTACCCAGTTCATTGCTGGCTCCTCCCCTCTTCCTGCAGTTATTTATATTGCTTTAGTAAAGCTCGCTGAAACCATTTTACCTAGGCCTAAAGAACTTTTTACACTATAGTTGGGGCCTATGAAGCATATCCATTTCTTCAGTTTCTTTTTTCCTTAATACTTTTTACTCTCATAAGTATGCAGCCTTGATTTTGTCAAAGATAGGCTTTTGAAACATGTACTGTGGTTTTTCTGTTATCCTGTCTTTTTCTACAGAGGGTTTTTTAATGGGCAATGCAAATTACATTTACCCTCTTATCAATTTTCAATTCAGAAGTTAGATGGTTAAATGTGATTGAAGTAAAAACAGAAATTTTTAAAAAATACATATTTAGAGGACATTTATTTGTAATTTGCCTGTTGTTCTCATATCATTATAGGCCCAAGATAACCAGATTGGATTTTAAAAAGAATAAGTTAACCTTGGTGGTTGTAGAAGATGATGATCAGGTAAGAATTAATTTGTATTGCATTGCTTATCTAATAATGACTGTGTTATGTGGTAACTAAGTCTCTGAAAGGCGAAGTGTACCTCACTGTTTTAAACAGCCAGAACAGAACAGAAACTTAGTATAATTAATGTTTTATATAATTTCTTGACTTGGGTCATGCCATCCTAAAAATATGATTTTCTGCCCTTAAGATTAAAGATAATATAAAAGTCTATTCTTTCTTCATTGATAATATATCTGAGGTGTATAACAAATTACAGTGAAGTGACTTTATTTTATTTTTTGAGTTGGAGTCTCATTCCGTTGCCCAGGCTGGAGTGCTGTGTCACACTCACAGCTACTCCAGCGTCGACCTGCTGGGCTCCAGCGATCCCTCTGCCTCAGCCTTCTGAGTAGCCAGAACTACAGGTGCAAACTACCACACCTGGCTAATTTTTTATTTATTGTAGAGATGAGGTCTTGCTAAGTTACCTGGGCTGGTCTCAAACCCGCAGGCTCAAGCAATCCACTTGCCTCGGCCTACCAAAGTACTGGGATTAGGGGCTGAGCCACTGGGCACAGCCATGACTTTATTTCTTTAGTAACTGATCAAAAAGTTTAGTCAAAAAGATATACCTAATAATATATTAAACAAAACCTTTTGAACTAAGGGTTACCTTTTTATCAGTTATGATATAGTTCCGAATTGATACACAGGTGAATCCTTCTTAGATGTGTTGTGCTCAGTGAAAGAAGCCAGATTTTAAAAGTTATGTACTGAATTATTCCATTTATTATATGACATTCTGGAAAAGGCAAAACCAGTTTTACTAAATGCAAATTAATACATTTTAACACATACATACAGATAGTTATAGATAAAAGCAGACTGGGCAAAATGTTAGCAGTTATATCTAGATAGTATGTATGTGGGTATGCAACTTTTCTGTATAATTAAACATTGTATAATAAAATGCTGGCAAAATGTTTTAGAAATCTAGTTCTTTGATTTTTTTTTTCTTTCCTAGGTAATTACACTTCCCTCATTTAAAAAATGTTTCCTATGTAGGCCAAGTATGGTGGCACATGCCTGTAATCCCAGTACTTTGGGAGGCTGAGGCAGGAGGATGGCTTGAGTCCAGGAGTTTGAGACCAGCCTAGGCAACATAGTGAGGGCTCATGTCTACAAAAAAAAGAAAAATTGGCTGGGCAGAGTGGTGTGTGCTTGTAGTCATAGCTACTGATGCTCAGGTGGAAGGATCTCCTGGACTGAGGAGATAAGGCTGTAGTGAGCCGCAATTGTGCCACTACTTTCAACCTGGCCAACGGAGTGAGACTCTGTCTCAAATAAATAAATAAATAAAGTTACTTATGTTTCTCTTCTAGCTTGGATCATATGAAAGCATATTTTTATGGCTATAGTTTATTTATAATTTGTAATCATATTTTTCTCCTCGTTACTACTACTTGTAATAATACTGCATTTTGGTAGTACCAGTGTGAAGTATGAGAAGCAGTAGGTGAAGAAAAAGTATGTGAGTTTGGCTGAAACGTCAGTATTGGATTTTTATCTTTTAACTAACTTTTTTTTTTAATGTTTATTTTTTCTGGCTCTTGTTTTAAATTTGACCTTCTTTTAATATGTATAGATGTTAACATTTGGTCATTTGTTTATTAATTTATTTCTTTTGGACATTTTCTGTTCATGTTCTTTCATTTTTGGTGGTTTTTCTTGGGTCGCAGTCTCACTCTGTTGCCCAAGTTGGAGTGCAGTGTCATGCTCATGGCCACCGCAGCCTTGACCTGCTGGGCTCAGGCGATCCTTCCACCTCAGCCTTCCAAGTAGCTGGAACCATAAGCATGTGCCACCATGCTCAGCTAATTTTTTTGATTATTGTAGAAATGAGGTCTCGCCAAGTTGCCCAGACTTGTCTTGAAGCCCTGGGCTCAGGCAGTCCTCCTGCCTCGGCCTCCCAAAGTGCTGGGATCATAGGTATGAGCTACCACGCCCAGCCCATGTTCTTTTTTATTGGTCCCATAAAGGTGCCATGAGAAAATATGAGTGTAAATTCCAATATAAATATTAATAAATAAAAAACTGAGATTAGGTGAGTATTACTCTGCATCATGATTGTAGCCCTCCAGTGATTTGCTGTGGTTGTTTTGGGTTTATGTGGACCTGATCAAATATCATAATTGGGAAAAAGAATGACTTTAGAAATTATTTAAGTAAAGACTCCTGTACAGTCAAATTTTTGTTTTTTTCAAGTTTTTGCCTCTGGATGTTGGTCTGGTCACTTTTCTCTAATATTACCTCTGTTGTTAAATGGTCTTTGTTTATACATGAAGGTTCAGTAGATTTTGCTTAATATCAGTAAAATAAAAGAAACACGTTTATCAGAAGCTTGGTTGTGTCACATTCATTGCCGCTGTATATTGGGTGGGCACTGCTTTACAATTAGTAGGTCTTGCATTGCTTTACAATTAGTAAGTCTACCAGTTTTGACTAAAGTTATTCATAAATGAAATAGAGATACTGTAGTGGTTGTCTTTTTATTTTATCAGGTTAGTAGTCTCAAGGAAATTTTAGTGTAGTTGGAGTGTCCAATAACTAGATAAGCTTTTGTAACAGTGTGGTAAATGGTAAAATCAAAGTACCTAATAAACAAGTCTACAAACGTATGTGGGCATGTATCTTTATGGTACCATTGATAATGTTGACACATTCATACACTAAAATGGTATGAGGCCAAGAAAAATAATTATTGATGTAGGAAGAACGTGAAATACGTAGGATAATATAGTAAGTGAATGGTATAGTAGTATTTTTATGTATGAGTTTTAAAAAACGTGATAGTACTTTTGCAAAAAGAAAAGTTCACATAGATTTCAGACTACTGGAGGTGTTATTGCAGGGTGATTTCAGCTTTGAATAAGTTTGATTTTTTTTTTCTCATTTATATTTTCTGAAATGTTTATTTCTTATGAAGGACAGGGAATGGGAGATCAAAGGGCTCCCAGTACTGATTTGTTAGGTATCATCTTAGATTTGTAGTTTGCTTAGGTTTTAAGCATTTACAAAATTGTCTTTTAATCTTTTGGTGAAGGTATGGTGATCTTAGAGTTTTTATTTTATTTTATTTTTTTCTTTGCTCAAAGATCAAGCATTGCTTTATTCAGTGTAAACTAGAGAAGGAAAGAAAAATAAGTTTTTTTTATCTCTGCCCTCAAGGAGGTCATGGACATTAAGCATCACTGTTAACATAATAGTATGTTTCTGATAATGTGGAAATTGTTCTCCTTGTTTCAGGTTTTAAAAATTACTTATCATGGTTTAGTGTATAAATATCAGCTATGTATTAAATTTTTTTAAAAACCCAAAAGCAGCTCAGTTCAGTTAGCTAATATTTCTGCATAGGTTTTGATACAGTTACTTAATACATTTATTAATTGAAAATATATAAAAAGCTATACAGGGAAAAAACTGTTTCTTCTAGCCACACTTTTTTTTAACATCTTTGAAAAAATGAGGATGCATCTTAATACTAGGAGGTGCCTTAAAATCATTGTTGACTAGGGGACAGTTGCGATATAGTTATCATTGTCTGCATGTGTGGGGACTTGTCATAGCACATTTGGTTGAGTTATTATTTATTGTTGGCACTACGTGTTCAGTTTAATTGCCGTTTAAAATGACTTCAAAAGATGTGACTATGATTCAGCATTCAAAAGTTATTCTCAATTCAGAAAGCATTCAAACAGATCTGTGGTATGTAAATTTGTTAACTTCAGTTATTTTTTTGGCAACTAATTGCTGGCTTGTTCTTATTGTTATATACTATTCCATTTTATAAATAGACCACTATTACTTACCCTTTCAATTGTTGCTGGACATTTGGGTTGTTTCTGATTTTCACTGTTAAAAGAGTGCTTTTCTGAACTCTAAGATATACGTGTATTTAGCTTTTGTAGATACTGCCAAACTGTTTTCCAAAGTATCTAATACAAATTTGCACCCCACTAACAGTGTGTGAAAGTTCCACTAGTTATTGTTTTGTGTTTTTTTGCTAATGTTCGGCATTTTTTAAAATTTTTGCCATTCTAGTGGGTAGTAGAATCTTTTGTCATTTTAATTTGCATTCCCCTGATGACTACCGTGGTTTAGCATTTATTTATGTAACTTATTGGATATTTGCTTATTCTGTTTTATGAAACACCTGTTAAAGTCTTTTGCCCACTTTTCTATTAGCTCATGTGCATTTTATTCATTGAAAAATCTCGGCTAGGCTCGGTGGCTCAGCCTGTAATCCCAAGTGCTTTGGGAGGCCGAGGTGAGTGGACTGCCTGAGCCCGCGGGTTCGAGACCCACCCAGGCAATTTGGCGAGACCTCATCTCTACAGTAAGTCAAAAATTAGCCAGGCATGGTAGCATGTGCCTGTAGTTCTGGCTACTTGAAAGCCTGAGGCAGAAGGATTGCCAAAGCCCAGCAGGTCGAGGCTGCGGTGGCCAGGAGCGTGCCACTGCACTCCAGTCTGGGTGATGGAGTGAGACTCTAACTCAAGAAAAAAAAAAAGGAAAAAACTTTATTCTGAATGCTAGCTCTTTGTTATATACTAATATTGCAAGTATCTTCCACTACCTGGCTTACTTTTGTTTCCCCCACTTTTATCTTTAGTTGACAAATAATAATTGTACATACTTATTGCATGCAGAGTGGTATTTTGATAAATGTATATAGTGTGTAATAATCAGGATAATTAGCATTTCCATGTTGGCTATCTTAATAGTATCTTTAAATAAACCGAAAAGTACAAAAATTATAAAACCAGTAACCATTTTATTCATGATCTAGATTAAACATTTTTTATATTGCTTCAGATTTCTTGTAGAAATAGGTAAATAAAATTATGTATGAGTAAATAATATAGCTAAAATCTAATGCCCTAACTTACCTATCCCTTTTTCCCCATAGCTGGTCACCATTTTTGGAGAGTATTATGCTCATACATATTTTATAACTTTTTCCAAATATAACACATAACACATTGTAGAATTGTTTTAAACATTTACATAAATCATATATATTTGTGGCTTGCCTGTTTTGTCTTTGTATGTGGACTAATGAATTGATCAAATTCATTCATTTAAACCTATTTATGGTATTATATAATAAATAATAACACATTCATTTGTTCATCATTTATTCATTTATTCTATAGTTTTTACATATGCCACTATTTAACTGTTTCTCTTTTTCTTTTCTTTGGACATTTAGGGTTTGGGCCAGTTTTTGCTATTATAAATGAGACTGTGAGGAAAATCTTTGTGTATGACTTTTGGTGTTTAGAACATTATTTTCCCTAATTTAGTTGTTTGTATGAAGGTTCTGGAGCCAGACTGTCTAGGTTCATTTTTGGTTTCCTTTCTTACTGGTTATGTGACCTTGGGCATAATTTCTTTGAGCTTCAGTTTTCTTATCTATGAAATGGGGTGTTAATGTGAAATCTGTAGTGGTTGTGAATGTGACATAATTAGACTTCTGGGTGTGTGCTTATTTGAACAAAAAAAGTGAACATTTTTAAGGCTGTTGATACATGTTGCCAGATCTTCTGTGATCCTTTAAGTGGTAATTATATTATTAAATTATATTTATATATAATTATAAATGCTAAAATTTCCTATATAAATATGACATATATAAATAAATATAACAAATTATAGTTATATCCCAAAAAGCAGCAGGTGAAGTCTCATTTTTTTTACTCCTCTGACAAATGATATCATGTAAATGGAGAGGCCACTCTTAGAAGTAGTTTCATATTGGCTGAGAAAATGCACGACTTGATTTCAGCTCTGCCTTTTTATGTAGATAGAGTGAAACTCACTTTATAAGAGTGAGTTTCATAGCAAATTAGATGCTTTATTGTTTGCTTCTTGATGTTGCTGTGGTTGTATTTGTATCAGAAATAGGAGGCAGGACTGTTTGACCTAATAATCACCTCTCTTTACATTCTTTTTTCAGGGCAAAGAACAGGAGCATACATTTGTTTTTAGACTAGATCATCCAAAAGCCTGCAAACATTTATGGAAGTGTGCTGTGGAGCATCATGCCTTCTTCCGCCTTCGAGGCCCTGTCCAAAAGAGTTCTCATCGATCGGGATTTATTCGACTAGGATCACGATTTAGATATAGGTTAATTTTAATAACTGCTTTTTCTATATCTTTCACTCTTGCATACAGGCCGAAAAATTTAGGTCAACCATCTCCTTTTATAATTGTAATTAAGTCACAGAGAAAGAAAAAGAAAGATTTGGCAAAGTCTTCCCTTGGCCAAAATACAAAAGAGAGAGTGCTCTTGTTATTGGTTGTAATTTCTTGAATAGATGAGAAAACACAGTAATTCTATAATGGATTTTACATCCCTCTTGACATTTACTTTATTTACCAACTCCCAGTTTATATTTATTAAACGGGAGTTGAACTCTCCATCTAACTGCTGGATACCATGTAGAAAAAGGGTATCAGTTGCTCCAAGTGGGATATTAATTTGCATAACACTTGTGGGTCTTTATAATCCTTAAGTTCCATTATCCTTATGGCTGCTTATTTGTTTTCATGAGTTACAAATATCTTAGTTTGCTGGAGAATAGGTTATTGGTTATGAGTTTTCAGCATGTCACGGAAAGCAGTGCAATTTAAAGAACAAACAGATAGTACCAATAATGTAGCAAGTCAGTTGTTGGAATTCATGTAAGAGATCTTCTATTCTGCCTCTATTAAAAGTGAGGAGGCATTTTTTTTTTTAACAGAATTTAAATGAAAATCAAGGAGAGCAGGATGATAGTCTTAAAAACATTTCTGGAAAATTATTCTAAAAAGTGTATCACAATTAGAAAACTAAATGAAAATCTTATTTTAATTACATGCTTTGCTCTGAGGAGTGTGGATGGATTGTAGAGAGGGTTTCCATAAAAGTGTGGGTATTCCAAACTTTATGCTTAGGCGATAAGCTTGCTTAAGAGAACAAAAAACAGTATAATCTTTTGAATAGTTCACAAAAGTCTAAAGAGTGAAAGAATGATATGGTAAAGCGAGACATCAAGACTACTAGTAGTTGATCCTTTAGGATGATGTTCGGGATGATTCTTTTAAGGAGACCCTGAATATAGACTTACTTATGTGTATCTGATTACTGTAAACTTCAATTTTTTTTTTTATTCCTGTTGATATGCCTTATTTATGTTAGTGGGAAAACTGAGTATCAGACCACAAAAACCAATAAAGCAAGAAGGTCAACATCCTTTGAAAGAAGGCCCAGCAAACGATATTCTCGTCGAACTCTACAAATGAAAGGTGAAGTGCAACCCTGTTTCAAAAGACCATTCTTCCTTGACAATTGATTATATGCTGGTGTTGTTTACTTGAGAGACAGTAACCTCTGAATCTTCTTAGGTTTATTCCAGTCATTTTTCCTGGCAGAATCAATTTCATAAGATACACAGTGGAAAAAATTGTCTATATTGTTAGCTGCAGTTAAACTTCATCTTAAACCCAATTTAGGTGATGTCTGAGATTTTGCTTGCATTGACTATGTCAGTGTTTCTGTGGAGCAACAGTTTCTCTTTCTGACTTACAACTTCATAGACATCTCTTATTCTTAGGAATTTTTAAAAACATTGTCATGTGATGGATGAATTTTTTTTTTTTTTTTTTTTTTTTGAGTTGAAGGTCTCGCTCTGTTGCCCATGCTGGAGTGCAGTGGCACCCTCACGGCCACCGCTGCCTCGACCTACTGGGCTCAGACGATCCTCCAGCCTCAAACTTCCAAGTAGCTGGAAAATAGGCATGCACCATCACACCTGGCTAATTTGTTTATTTATTTTTATTTTTTTATTTTTTTTGAGTTGGAGTCTCACTCTGTCGCCCATACTGGAGTGCAGTGGCCGCTCCCGGCCACCGCAGCCTCGACCTGCTGGGCTCCGGCGATCCTTCCTCCTCAGCCTTCCGAGTAGCCGGAATTACAGGCATGTGCTACCACACCCAGCTGATTTTTTTGATTTATTGTAGAGATGAGGTCTCGCTGCCCAGGCGGGTCTTGAACCCGCAGGCTCAGGCAATCCACTCACCTCAGCCTCCCAAAGGCGTGGGATTACAGGCTGAGCCACCGAGCCCGGCTTTGTTTGTTTATTTATTATAGAGATGAGGTCTCGCCAAGTTGCCCAGGCTGGTCTCGAACCCGTGGGCTCAGACAGTCCTCTCACTTCTGCCTCCAAAGTGCTGGGATTATAGGCTTGAGCCACCAAACCTGACCTGATGAATTTTAAGTAAAAATTATTTCATATTATATTACAGTATTGAGGGTTCTGTTAAATATGTTGTTTAAGTTTAATCATCAATATATCATAGGCATTTTCAAATTCATACATATTGATTGCTGTTTAAGATCAGTTATGTAAAAAAATAGAAACAAAGAAAAGTCTAGGCACAGTGCCTCATGCCTTAATCCCAACACTTTGAGAGGCTGAGATGGGAGAATCACTTCAGGCCAGTAGTTGAAGAACATCCTGTGCAACATAGCAAGACCGTGTATTTACCAAAAAATTAAAAAAGATCGGTTATGTAAAAACAAGCATTGTTTACTTTGACAAATAATTTAAAGTTTGTGTTTGGTTTCTAATCTGAATTTGTTAAAATACAAATTGAATTTTGAGTATTTTCTATGTCAGTGTCCTTACCAGAAAACAACTGCCATGATCTGATGTTTCACAGATCTGATTTATATCCATAATTTCTGATGTGGCTCTTAAGTAAATAACACATAAGTATAAATGAAATCTTTCATTTGTGATTATTTGAAACCCTAAATTACTTCTTGTTTTCCACTGATAATGGTTCATGATCAGTTAACGCACTGTGGCAGTGTACAGGTGGTTCTGTTTTAAAGTAAGAGATGTATACATATTTTATTTATTTATTTAAAAAAAGAAATAATTGCCATTATCGACAATTTAAATTAAAAAACCATTTCATGAAGGTTTTCAAATTTATGATTGGAAAACATGACTTAAGGCAATTAGTCAGGATTTTATACTTTGATAAATAGTGCAGCAGTTAATCATGTAAGATGAGACTAATGAGATCTTATCTTTTTTTCTTCTGTCAGCAAGTACAACAAAACCTGAAGAACTCAGGTGAGTAATGTCTTGCAACTTAGGAATTAATGTAGAATGTTTTGGAATTTATGTAGTTGGTATAATTAGTTAAACAAATACTTGTTGAAGACCTGTCAGTGTATCAAGTTGTCCCCAGGCGTTGGGGTTATAGCAGGAAACAAATAAACACATAATGCCTGATAAAATTGGCATGAAGAAAATAAAGCAGTTTCAAGAAGTAAAGAATGGGGTGAGGGTAGATTCATGGTAAGAGTGACATACATTAGACAAGTTACTAAGGATATAAAGATAATAGGTTATTATCCTTATACAGAAGGAACTCAAAGAACAAAGGTTGATTTGCAAATAAGCAATTTTATTCCTGGGATAAATCCTACTTGGTTATGGTGTATAATCTTTATGTTATATGTTGCCAAATTTGGTTTGTCTAGCATATTTGTGGATTTGTATGTCTGTATTCATCAGATTCTGGTCTATACTTTTCTTGTGATGTCTTTGCCTGGTTTTTGGCATCAGGCTGATGCTGACCTCACAGAATAAATTAGTAAATGTTCTCTTCTCTTCTGGTTTTTGGGAGGAGCTCATAAAACATTGATATTAATTTTTATCTTTTTTTTTTTTTGAGTTGGAGTCTCACTCTGTCCCCCAGACTGGAGTGCAGTGGCCGCTCCCGGCCACCGCAGCCTCGACCTGCTGGGCTCCAGCGATCCTTCCGCCTCAGCCTTCCAAGTAGCCAGAATTATAGGCATGCGCTACCTTGCCCGGCTGATTTTTTGATTTATTGTAGAGATGAGGTCTCGCTGCCCAGGCGGGTCTTGAACTCGCGGGCTCAGGCAGTCCACTCACCTCAGCCTCCCAAAGGCGCCGGATTTCAGGCTGAGCCACCGAGTCCGGCGATATTAATTTTTAGATGTATGGTAGAATTTGCCATTACAGTCATTTGGCCTGGACTTTCTCTTTATGTGAAGTATAGAAATTAATCATCTCTTGTTAGTTATCTATTCAGATTTTCTTTTTCATCTTGAGTTATTTTGGCAGTTTGTCTCTTTCTAGAATTTGTCAATTTTATCTCCATTATCTAATTTGTTGGCATATAGTTCATATTTCCTTTTTCTGTGTATTTCTGTAAGGTCAGTACTGATGTCCCCTCATTTCTTTCTGTTTTTAGTAATTTTAGTTTCTTTTTTTTCCTTGGTCAATCTAGCCAAAGGTTTTCCTGGTCTTTTCAAATAGAGCCAGCTTTTTGCTTCATTAGTTTAAAAATTGTTTCTATTTCATTAATTTTTGCTCTAATCTTTTCTTTCTACTTCTTTTAGGTTTAGATTGCTCTTTTTCTAGTATTTTCAGGTGGAAGGTTAGCTTATTTGAGATCTTTTTTAACCATAGTTTATACAGCTATAAATTGCCTTTTAGGCAGTTTTAATTACATTAAATATGTTTTGATATTTTGTGTTTTTATTTTGCTCATCCAAATTATTTTCTGATTTCATTTATAATTTCTTCTTTGATCTGTTGATTAATTAGCAGTGTGTTGCTAAATTTCTTCTTATTTATGGGTATCATACATTTTGTTTTTCTAACTTTATTCCATGCTAGGTAGAGAACATACTTTGTAAGCTTTTGATCTTTTTAAATTTAATGAGACTTGTGTTATGGCCTATTATTTTGTGATTCATACAGGAAAATGGTCCATGTATATACTTAAGAAGAATTCATATTTGCTGGCTTTGAGTGGGTGTTCTATCAGTGTCTGTTAGGTCTAGTTAATTTATAGTGTTGTTTAAATCTTTTCTTTTTTTTATTTTTATTTTTTATGAGTTGGAGTCTCACTCAGTTGCCCAGACTGGAGTGCAGTGGACATTCCCGGCCACCGCAGCCTCTACCTGCTAGGCTCCGGTGATACTTCCGCCTCAGCCTTCCAAGTAGCCGGAACTACAGGTGTGCACTACCACGCCTAGCTAATTTTTTATTTATTGTAGAGATGAGGTCTCGCCAAGTTGCCCAGGCGGGTCTTGAACCCGTGGGCTCAGGCAATTCACTCATCTCGGCCTCCCAAAGCACGGGATTACAGGCTGAGCCACCGAGCCTGGCTAAATCTTTTATTTCATTGTTCATGTTTTACCTAGTTTTATCCATTATTAAGAGGATATTGAAGTGTACAACTATTGTTATTTAATTGTGTATGCCTTCCTTCAGTTCTTTTTTTGTTTCATGTCTGTTAGGGATTTTTAATAGGTACATTTGTCTTTATATTATCCTGATGGACTGTTCTTTTATCATGATAAAATGTTCCTCTTTATCGCAAGTATCTTTTTTTTTTTAATTTTAAAGTCTGTTTTGTCTGATATAAGTATTGCCAGTCCAGTTTTCTTATGGCTGCTTTTTCATGGTATAGCTTTTCATCAAATTTGGGGAAGTTTTTTATGCATTATTTCTTCAGATATTCATTATGCCCTTTCTCCTCTCCTTCTGGAATTTCTATTACAAGTAAGCTGCTACACTTGACAATGTCCCATAGGTCTCTCAGTCTGTTCATTTCTCTTTATTTATTTATTTTTTTAATTCCTCAGATTGAATAATCTCGCTGGACCTATCTTTAGGTTTACTGATTCTTTTGCCTGCTCAAATCTGCTGTGGAGAGCCCTCCTAATTAGTTTTTCATTTTGGTTACTGTATTTTTCAATTCCAGAATGTTTCTCTCTCTCTTTTTTTTCTTTTTTTGTTGGAACTAAATGAGATATATTTTATTTTTTATTTTTTCAGGTGAGTCCAATTTATTTATTCATTCTTTTTTATAAAGATGTGAAGTACAATTCAGGGTTAGGTATACAAACATTGATTATGTAGGTACCCTTGTTGATGAGGTATGCCCCATCTTCCCCTAGCAGTTTCTCTCAGCTGCCAATCCCCTGACAGTTTCTCACATTGTTCAAGGTCCACTTATGAGTGAGAACATGTGGTACTCTGTTCTTTGTTTCTGTGATCACTGAGTATGATCGACTCTAAATCCATCCAACTAGCTGCAAAGTCCATATGTTTGTCCTTCTCTATGGCTGCATAGTATTCCATTGTGTATATGTACCACATTTTTTTTTTTTATTCAGTCCAGCTTCGATGGGCAACACGATTGGTTCCATGTTTTTGCTATTGTGAATAGAGCTGCAGCAAACATACGTGTGCAGGTATCTTTTTTGTAAAATGATTTGAGTTCCTCCGGGTATATTCCCAATAGGGGAATTGCTGGGTCATATGGAAGGTCAATTTCTAATTCTTTCAAGAACTGCCACACTGTCTTCCAAAGAGGTTGCACTAGTTTGCATTCCCACCAGCAGTGTAAAAGCATTCCTTTTTCTCCGCATCCTCGCCAGCATCTGTTGTTGTTTGTTTTATTAATGATCTGCTGTGGAGAATCCCCCTAATTAATTTTTCATTTTGGTTACTGTATTTTTCAACTTTAGAATGTTTTTCTCTCTTTTAAAAAAGTTATAATTTCTATGTAATGATAATCTGGTGAGACATTGTTCTTATACTTTAGTTATGTAATGTGGTTTCCTTAGTTGTTGAGCACATCTAAAGTAGGTGATGTAAAGTGTAGAGGGCTGGGGAACTGTTAGCTCCATCTTTTTGGCTTCACCTGCCAAGAGTAGAGCTGCTACCACACTGATTGGGAAGGAGGAACAGGAGAGCAAGGCTTGGCTCAAATGCCACAGACTTAGCTCTTAATGAGATTTAGTAGATGTTCTTGAATAAATGTTTCTCCACTTGATGTATGTATCCCTTGATAAAAGAACAAAGTCCAGAGACTTTTAATGATTTTTTTAAAATTAATTTTCACCGGTTAAATGTTCATTTTACTGGGGAGAGTATCTGCTTTCGTCTTTAAATCACCATTCTGAAAGTCTTGCTTCTGATGGTTCCATTAATTTTAATAGCGTATATTACAGTGAGACTATAGTCTCTATGCTTATTAACAATGGGTATGTATTAGAGTCTCTTGGAATGCCTGTTTAAGAATCAGATTCATTCCATACCCACAAATCTGATTTGTTTCTGAATTCGTCTATACTCTTATATGACTTAGCAGTGTGCTGCTAAATGATACTTGTGTTGTGGCCTACAGTGTTATGAATCATCTAGGAAAATGGTCTAGCTAGGTATATGACTAGAGCTTCTTTAAACGAAGTTGGTTGTTTGGGTTACTGAGTATAGTCAGCCCCACCTTGAAATGTCCTATTCAGGTGTTTGTTTTTTTTTTCCTTTTTGCTTAGAAAGTTATTAAAGCCACGCTGTGATTTGTGATTTACTACAAAAGCACTCTGCTTTTTGACCAAGGACTCTTCCCCTCAGTTTCTTTAGCTGTCAGTAGGCTATTAAAAGTAAATAAATGAGCAGAGCGGGGAGGAAGTGAGGAATTCCCTCCATCATTAAATTTTAATTAAGTAAAAACAAAATTTTATGCCTTTGCTACTTTTATTTTTCTTGCTTGTCTGAAAGGGAGGCGGGGACAGAGTATTAGAGCTTAAAGTAAGGAGTTGGTGAAGTTAGCAGAAATGTAAACAAAGTATTTAATCAGTGATAATTTAACTTGTCTCACGACCAGTATGACAATAATATAGCTGAAAAATTGGTTTTATTTGTAAAATAAAAAGATCTTCCTTTAAGATGTTCTCTAACATGTTTCTGATTTTAAAAAATAAATTTATTTAGTCTCTTTTTTAGATTTAAGATTAATTTAACTTTAATGGCTAAATGTTAGTGTCTTTTCATTAGTGATACTTTTAGCTCTGGAAAACTCAGCAAATTGGATGCTTAGTATATTTTTAAAAATTTTTTTTAAAGAGAAGACTTTTAGAAATAAAATGTACTGGGGGACCCAATTCTCTTGAAGGTTGTTGAGCACTACTCATCATAGTGCCTGAGAAAACCTGAGCAGGAACTTGGACTCCTGCCCTTCCAGTTCTGTTTGCATGAACAGCTTTGCTCCAGTGAACTATGGAAAACAGTGCCGTTTGAAAAGGCACAACTATTTGACCTAAAAAGCTTGTTGACCTTGTACTCTGCAGTTCTGTAAAATGTCTGTTCAAATAAAAGGTTTCTAAATTGGCTGATGTCAGTCGTTTTCTTTGTAGTGTTTTGTCCCCTAACTACTCTTGAGTCTTTAATAACATAAGGTGTCTTAAGAGGTGACATTTCAATTACTAGTACTTTTTATACAAGTGTAGCAGGCAGTCTTGAAGACAGGAAGGAGAAGAAGAAATGGTAGAGGAAATCAAATAAGTAGATGGGGTATTGGAGCAAAATAGTCAGTTACTGCATGTAGTCCTTTCAATGAGGAAGCTTGGACTAGGTCAGTAATGAGAAGTATTTATTTCATATTCATTCATGGAAGTGAAAGAATATACTTACCAGAAAATAATGCTTTCTATATTTCAAATTACTTGAAAACAGGAAGCTGTGATTCAATTAACATTACTTACTGTGTTTTTTCTTCTGTTTTTCTTACTCATCACCTACCAAAATTATTCCCTGTTAAAGGAAAAGCTTTAGAGAATAACCAAGGCTAGATGAGATTTCATTAGGGTTTAGGATCATTAGGTATTCTGGGAAGAGCAGCATGGTTAGTAAAAAGAAATTGTGTCCGACAGATATAGTCTTTAAAATTGCCTTGGCAGCGGAGCTACATTCAATAGTATTTTTATTTTATTTTATTTCATTTTATTTTATTTTTAGAAAACAGGATTTATTGAGAAGACAGAAAAGTGGGAGGAGACCTGAAAGGGTTGCCCTAAATAGTATTTAGGTATTTTGTTGGCTTAAAAAAAAAATCACTGTTCTTTGTTAATATTCATTAAATCCTTTTAACAATCTCATGCAAATGAGTAACCTAAGGTACAGAGAGCAGAACTAGTGACACAGCTTGCCTTTGAAACCAGGCAGTGGTAAATACACATTCTGGTGACTCAACTTGTAATTGAAATGTAGTTAATAAAAAATAGGATCTAAAGTGAGTTAACTCTTTATCTCCCCTACCCTTTTAGCAAGGCCTCTTCATTCTTAAGTTCTTTCTTAATTGGTAGTTTATGTTTTGCTTTAAAAACAACCCCGCCCCCCGCGGCCAATAAGCTTCTGGATGCTGTATTCAGAGTTTATTTGTGTTTGGGAAGTTTTGCCTTTCCCTTTTACTAGAATGACATCTTGGCTGAGTATAATATCCTGTTGCTGTGGAAAAGTCTGTGCCAACCTGATACTGGCAGTGATTTGCTTTTTGCTTTTAAATTTACTTGAGTACCTGAAGTAGTCTTTCCTTGTCCTTGAGGATGAGTGACTAACAATAAGGGATTGGATTTATTTAATTCTGTGTCTCGTTTTCCTGGAATAGTGTTGTCATTACATCTGTAGATTGTTTTCTCACTTTCAAGGAATTTTTTTTTATAACTTGGAATTTTTTTACATTATTGAATACTTTAGGGATATCTGTTATCCTGTGTTAGAATGCCTAAATTTAGAAAAGGAATTTTTTTTTTTCATTTTGTTGTGGTTATATCTCATTTGGGCTTTTATTCAGTTGAATATTTGTATGGTTTTTTTGTTTGTTTTATTTTTGTTTTTGCCATACCATAGTTTCTATTTGTTTTGTCATATTATAGGTTTAGGGTTTTACGTAAGTATTTTTTTTGTTGAGTGATGGGTACAATCTAAACTAAAGATTTAAAAACATATTTACAAGTCATTTGGGGAGAAAAAGTACACACAGAAGTTTCTAACTTACTAATAAAGCATTTTGAGTTATAGAATGCTGAGTTGTTGCTGACAATGGAAAATCTTAAAAGGGTAGGAATATATGTTGGTATTTGTGTTGCTATCTTTGTTTTGCCATTTTTGACAGATATTTTCCAGTGAATAAACAAGATTAGTGTGAAATATCCCTGTAAAACAATTAAAACATAGGTATATTTACAGAAGGAGTGAGCAGTATTGAGAATTAAAATTATTAAAATATATTCGTGGAAAGAGATGGAAACATCAAATGAGCAGGCTACAGAAAAGCAAGTGTTTGCCTATAAAAAACAGATGTTTTCTGAGCATCTAATATTCTTAGTTTCAGGTACCAGAAGATTATTTTTTACTTTAAACAAAACATTAATGTCTTAAAAATAAATATGCTTTCACTGGGCACATTGGCTCATGCCAGTAATCCAACACTTTGGAAAGCCAAGGTGGGAGGATCGATTACTTGAGATCAGCCTGAGCATCATAGTGAGACTTCATCTCCACAAAAAAATAAAAATAGCTAGGGGTGGTGGCATGTGCCTATAGTCCCAGCTACTCGGAAAGTTGAGGCAGAAGAATCATCTGAGCCCAGGAAGTCGAGGCTGTCGTGTGAGCCATGATTGTGCCACAAAAAGGAAAAAAAGAATCTGTTTTCATTCATGTTTTACAGAGCAACCTATATGACTTTTTAATAGATTTTTTTCCCCATTACAGTGTTCACAATAGTGTTTCAACCCAGAGTAATGGCTCCCAACAGGTAAGACAATATTAAGCTTCTAAAACACTAGAACACTAGTTAATTATGGTAACAGTAGTATTATTAATCAGATTTTCATAGTGTCAAAACCTTACATAAGTGTACATTTTCTTATTTCTTTTAAATGGTTTAATATCTAACTCCTTGTTACTTTATTCTTTAAGGTATTGTAAATGAAACCTTTACTCTATAAAACATTTTCTGTAAATCCATGAAAATGAATAAATTAGTAACATTCAGTTAAATTAAATTACCTATCTCTAAGGGGATATATATAAGACTCAAATGTTGGTTTACACTGTGTTTCTTCATTGTGTGGATAGTATGGTATTTGTTGGTAAAGAGATCTTTTATCTAGGCAAAATAGGTGATTTTTATAATTTTTGTTCAAAGACTCGGGGCTTGAGATCTACTCCACCTATGATTCCTTCCACATCTTCTGGTTCTGTGCTGGTGGAGATAGAGAATCTTCCATGGAGTCCTGAAACGGAGCAGCATGACAGGAAATGGTTTGTTAATTCCTTAAACTGAAATAAAACACTGCTTGCTTAATTATTTTCTAAATTCTAAACCATAATCTTAGATTACTTTAAATATGATTGAAAACAAATTATTCATATTTGTGAGCTGAGAGGAGGCATATATTTGATCAGGCATAATGTGACTGGGCAAAAGGGGATGTGGTTGGAGAAGGGAGTGCACCTGTCTAAGTGAAAAGCATCAGACAGCTGTCCTTGCTTGATTAGTAGGATGTGATTTGGGAACGGTAGAGGGTTTCTTGTTGAAACAGACCTTCTTGCTAGTCAGTAGAACCTCTGCCCAGATCCGTAAGGAAAGTATGTCTATTAACATGCTATTCTACACACCGTGATGATGCTGCTTTTGATGTGTTTTCTTCCTTAAAGACTGAGGATAAAACCATAAGGGAAACGTGGTTAGAGTCCAATAAAGTATGAAATATTCCATTTTATGGAGATTGAGAGATAATCCAAGGACAGGAAAGGTACTCTTCAGATTTTGAGGGTTTTTTCTAGATTAATAGTAAGTACACAAATATGGATACTTTGTGGCTTATTAGGGTTAATTAGTTGAGTTCATTCTTTTCCAAATAAATTTATATAACTTGTTGGGGGTGCTCCTTGCGAATTATCTGAGAGTCATGTTGGGTATATCCTCTGTTCAAGTTTTATGTCTATTTATGAAATGAACTTTGATTACTCATAGGATTTTTCTCTTTTACTCTTAGTTTGTTTAGTACCTGAAATCTCATGAATTTCTGTGGTGATCTCAAGGTTTTGGTCAGCTTTCTATGCAACCAGTTCTTCCTTCATGGTGGTGGGTCAACAGTGGTTGGTGATGATTTTCAGTCTTTTCTATGTAATTTTTTTTTCACTGTCATTTTGGCTTAACTAACTGCAAGGTGCTTTGCTCTTGATGGTTGAACTTATTTTTACTTCAGTTCCAAATAACTTGTGATTAGTTTTTAAGCTTGAGGGGATTCTCCCCCCACCCCTTCAAGTTCCCCTTTTTATTTTCTTCCTACGTGGGTGTGTGGTGAGGGTGCTTTGTGTGTGTGCATCTTGGGCACACACTTAAAAGTGTACGGAGTGAGGCTTCTAAAAGTTGAATTATAGTCTTTATTTTTTAAATTCATTAACAAAAAGTTTCTTCAATTTCTTACTGAAAACACTGCTCCAGTAAGCAGCTATGTTTTATCTCATTGATGTTACCACCAAGTCCTATTGGCAAGGAAAAATAGTAATGAGACTTCAACTATAGAAGAACTGTCTTAATGTATGTTTGCCTTTTATATTAATACAGAATGAGAGTCTGATTAGTTTGCAACCTGTATTGTGACACTAAGTCTTTATTGAGTTTTCCATGTTAATAGGTATATATTTAAATCTATTTAATTTGATCTGTTAGGCAATACTCAGTTTCTTTGATGTATCCTTGAGAAGGAGAGAATATTGAATTTATTAAATTTCAAGAAAAATGAAAAATTTGGAGCTGTGTATTCTCCTTCCTTTATGTGGTTGTGCTGAAACCTTTGCTGAAATGGAGTAAAGCAGTGATTCTTGAAAGCCTAATGAGCCTCAGTGTATGTCAACAAGGGCATGGAACTGAATATAGGAGCTAATGGATTCTCCAGGCTTAATTTAAAATGCATCCTACATTTCATTCTTTGTTTCTGCATGCTTTGATTCTTATTAATACTTTTTAAAGAATATAAAGCAGTCCTCCTTTAGAAAGTGATAAGTTGTTAATTCGGAATGCTTCCTACGTTTGAGGTATTGGCAGAATAATGGACCATTCTATTTCTAGCAATAACTTTTAACCAATTTAATCTAAACCTACTCCCTGTTCATATCTTCAGCTTTTTGTTGCTGGTATCTTTTTTTTTTTGAGTTGGAGTCTCACTCTGTCGCCCAGACTGGAGTGCAGTGGC